ACTGTCAGGAGTGATGGAAAACAAGACGAAGATACAGCCATAATTTTCTAAATTTTCATAATTTTCTAAAGGTAGAAGTCAGGTTAAGAGAAGCACCTCACAAAGTAAGATGCTTCTCCCCTTGAACCTTAATAACTCATTTCATTCATTTAATGAAAATTATCTATCTTGAAGGTGTAAGCTTTTGATCTACACCCAGGGAAACATTACAATATTCCTCTTGACTGCTGTGGGGAGAAGACCATAACCAACAAAAAAATGGGGATGGGCACCCAACCATGAGAACCAGGCCTGATGAGCTGCTGGTCCTGCCCCATGCTGTCCCCCGAGACACAGCCAGGCGTTGATGGGGAGATGCTGGCCCAAGCTCAGGACAGGCAGCACAAAAAACGCACAGGATGGCTCCTTGCTGGCCATGACGTCAACCAGCACCCCGGCCCGTTCTGTTTACGAGTGTAGCTGTAGCCCATGTGTGGGGGGATCTGCTGCTGCCTGCCACATTTCTGAACAGCCAAACGAGCAGAGCGTGAGCGTTTTGACTCCGCAACATCTTAAGCAGCTGTGGTTTGTTACTTATTTCTGGGCTGTCTGGTTTGCGTTTGCACCTTGGGAATTAGTGTCTATTTGCTGGTTCAGATCAGACTGGAGAGCTTGAGCTCTGCTATCACTTAATCAGTTTTGGTATCAGATTCCTGCTAACCTTAAAAAAACAGGGGAATTGGATATGAATGTTGTGATTAAGTGTCTTCTGTACGGTGGAAATCACCTTTTTAGTGCTATACTGCAACTTAAAGGACACTACACATAGTGAAGTTGAACATAGGTGACCCTGAAAGACACTCATTCAAGGAATTTTGGGACTTGCTTTTGCTCTACATTCAGCTAGATTTTTATTAACTGTGTTAGTAGTGACTTATACATAGAAGTTCATACAGTGAGTCTGCTTACTAAAGGAGAAAAAAAATAAATAATAATAAAAAAGGTTTCCTGAGACCAATGGATATATATAATTACAGATGCAGCAAAGAGAGAGATAGTGCTTTACCTTAGTGCAAAGCAGTGATCACCCCGATGTAGAAATCTTGATGCAGTTGTAGTGATATTTCAGAAAAGTGAGAAAATGAGGGATCATGCTAAAAACACCATGAAAGCAATTCAGTTTCAAAATCAAATGCCTTCAAAGGCAGAGACGCAGACAGCTCGTGCTCTGGGTATCAAAAGGAAGGTGGGGAGGGAAGTCACACAGACAACATCATATGAGGAAAATACACATGTGAAATTATTCTGTAACCTGGAAGGAAAAAGTAGGAGGAGAGGCAAAACAGGGCAGCTGGGCTGGGAAAACTTGGGTGAAAAGGGAAAACAGTTTGCTGTGGGAGCACTTTGCTGCAGGGCAGGGACAGGGTCTTTTACTTAGGGTCTTCTCATTTAATCTGGATACCTCTTTGCAAGAGGCTTCAGCTGTGCATGAGGTCATAAAGACTGATGCAGGGATATTGGGGTGAAATCGAGACCTTCTGAAAATGACAGCAGGAAAAGGTATGTTTAACTGTGCTTACTGACAGCCTTGTTGACCATCTCCCCTCTCCTCCTGTGGAGGGATTTATTTATCTCTCCCTAGAGAATTAGGCTGACCATTCTGATGGCCCTTGTATGCCAGCCAAAATTGAGGCTGGGGGATTCAGACAATGCAAAGGTTGTAGGAAAATCATGGCTGGGAACATGCCTTGGAGTGCAGTTATTACAAAAATGGGCTGAAGACACAAGAGCAGCATGGCTGGGTGAGAGCAGCCATCCCCCTAGCACTGTCCCCTGCCTCTGGCTCTGCCCAAGAATGGGGTGTAGGAAGGGTTTGCACAAAAATCTGAACATGCCTTGGGGACTTTGTGGGGGTTACAGCAAGCTTGGGGTGGTTTTCTAAAAGAAATGTACTGTGTGATCAGCATGTCTTCACAGGCAGTCTCTGTGGTAGCTGGCACGCTGTGTATCTGCACCCTAATTCAGCTCTAGTTTAGTAGTACCCTATGCACAGGACATGGGAAAAAAAAAAAAAAAAAAAAAAAAAGATTGAAATGCACTCAGTGAACGTCTGTATCTAGCAGCATTTATCGGGACCACACTTTTACAGAAAGAAGAAGAAAAAAAAATCAATAAAAGCCTCTGCTGGTTTTTGCATAACAAACCAGGGAAATCTATGGCTTGAGCTGGAAGAAAAGGACAAAACCTGCTGCAGATAGAGAGCTGATGTCAGCTGTCATCCTCCTTTAGAAAAGCTCAGGACAATGGCTCTGAATTAGGACAAGCCTGAAAGACATCCTGGTACCGGGGGAGCTTGGGTGTCCTGCCTGAAAGGGCAGCGGGGCCAGTCATTATCCGCAGAGTGAGGCCTCCTTTGTTAACCCTGTCACCACTCCTCCACCCACCCCGCTCGGCCGTGTTCCTCGAGGCCCAGACAACAAAACCTGGTCCCTCCGCGTTGGAAGGAGAGCAAGGCAAGAAAAGAAAGTGGAGGGAGGGCTGGGAGAGGGGGGGGAGTGAGAGAAACCCATCTTGAATGCGCTATCAGATAAGGCCTGTTGAAATAAGCCCTTTTTTTTTTTTTTTTAATCTTTTCTTTCTTTCCGTAGCTCCCTCTGCAAGCGGTAGCAATGGGAGGAAATAGATAATTAGAGGGCCTTTTAAAATGGCCCCACTGTTGTCCCAGGGCTGAGAAGGTGCGCTGGCAGGACAAGCCAAATAGCGAGGCAGACCTTTATCTCTTCCTAATGACTCGCAGTGAAAAGGGTGTTTTTTTTCCCCAAAGCCCTGGGCTCGGCCTCCTACCCTGGGAAGATTTCATTCTCAAGGCCTGGAGAATAAGTCCTCTTGTCCACTTGCGGGCTGCGGATAAATGGGCAGCACTGTTGTGGCTGGGTTTTGTGCCTCCACAGCCCCAAATGGCCCAGGCTGCTAATGAAAGGGGAGAAGCTGGAAGAATTGATCTCAGAGACAAAGGTTTTCCCCTCATTCTCCTGTCACCTGCCCCTCCCTCCAGCCCTCTGACATTTTCTCCTTTTCAGCTCCTGCATGGTTCAAAGGGGTCCCCATCTCTCACCCTTTCCACCCTCACTCCCTCCTGAGGGGTTCTGCTGCGGGCTGACCCCAAATGCTTCCAAACCTCCACCATCCCCATGCAGATCCAGACTATATCTGAAAAAGGCTGCACCCAGCCCTCATTGGCACAGGCTTGATGCTCTTTGCCCGGATCATTCACAGGAACATTCCTGTCCCTGCACTCTGTGCCACCCCTTCCCTCCTCACCACCCCACACCTCAGTTTCCCCATTTGTAGAAGCGATGATGACCCCCTTCCTGACCTTCAAGGGGTGCTCTGATCCACTGAGATGAGTAAAATCTTCCCTTTCAGCCCACTTAGAGCCGAAATTTGGAAGGGAATGAGCTATTCCCACCAGCTGGGGCAACCAGCTGCTACGTGGCTCTAGCTGTCCCCATGAAGATGTCACCAGTACTACAGCGTGGTGCACAGGGACTGTGCTCAGTGCTGGCTCCACACGGCTAGGAGCAGATGGATGCTGCTTGGAAAAGTCTAAATATACAGTCTAAACGGAAACAACACAGTCCAAAAGCACACAGCTCCTTATGAAGCACAGATATATACGTATATATTGTCTCCCTGTTCACAGAGTAGAGTTTCTTACTCTTATTAAGATTATTTACTTATTTTATTGAATGTCTCTGTGTTTTACACTACTACCTGATGGCCAGGGGAGGAAGAGATGGCAGATTAAGTTCTTAGCTTGCCAGCCAGGCACATTTTATTGCATTATGTATTTGTGGTTTCTGCTATTTTAATTACTAATGGTATCCCTCAGCAGAGGCAGTGGCTGGGGTCTTGACCCTGGACGTGTCTGCCAGCTTCACAGCAATGTGAAAGAGGATTTCTTGCCTTCTTTTCTGTTGACTGCTCCCTGGTGCTCTGCAGTCCTGTCTCTGCCTGTCGGCCACAGGTGAAGCAGCTCCGTTCTGGGCTTCACTGGCCAGGCTCAGGCTGAACCTTGTCCCAAAATCCACAGCATCCACAGATGAGGTGCCAACCTCATGCCAGGAGATCTGCCAGGCAGATGACAGTCTCTGACCCTGTTCACCCCTCAGACTACTTTTTCCTGCAATATTTTCTAAATTTCCTCCAGTATTTGTGCCTCATATTTGGGCTTGCAAACCCACATCACCCAGTTCTTCCAACATCTGATGCAATTTTCTCCCCAGGAAGCTGTGCCGGGGAATGACAGGGAACTCTGCTTCTGTTCCTCACCTCATTTTTATGTCTCTGCGTGATTTTCCCTTTCTCTTTGCCTCCACTTTGTGCTCTGACAGACCTACCTGACCAACAGAGTGCTGGTCTCACAGGAACACCACCTGTGCCTCGTGCTGCCTGTGATGCCCTTGCAAAGCATCAGCAGATACGAGCAGTGGCATGCAGCACCTCTCCTTGTCCTGGGGTCAATGATGTGAGCCGTGCAGAATTGCACCACATTGCTAACCAAAGGGAAATCTCTCCCCTGCAGGCTGGGGCAGACAGCACGAAGGAGAACCAGGCAGATGCTGGAGAGAAAGGGCTGGGAAAAAAAAACTTCTGAGTCTTGCCAAGCACTTGAGGTAGAGGAAGGAAAGGATGAAGGGAATAATAGCATGGCATTGTCTCGGACTAATTAAACACAGTTCACTTGGGCAAAGGCAGATCTTTTTACTGAGTGCAGACAGTTTTTATCTGCCCTTTGCAGCTCTGGCTATTCTTCCCCTCGGTGTCTGGTTACCCATTTAGCACACTGGTGTGCATGCACTCACTACCCCTGGACAGCACACGTCGAGTCAGGCTGACTGTGGGCTTGTTGCAGTGTTTATTAAGCTGTTAACAATATTCAGCCATTTCCTGGGTGCCTTTGGAACCCCCCATGAGCAGTGGTGTCCAATTTGCTAAAGCAGCTTCTGAAAACGCAGAAGAAAAGAGAAAACAGCAGTTTTTATTTTGCACTCTTGATTTTGCACTCAGTGCCCTGGCCACCAGGAGGGCACGAGGGAGCTGAGGATCATCTTCTGAATGAAAGAAGAGAGATTTTTCAGGTTCATTTCATCGTAATAGTGGATTGAGTTGTCCAAACAGAGATGTCGCACCAGAAGTGGTCAGAGCTCCTACACATCACGTATGTTGGTCCCATGCAAATCCGTCAGATACTTCAGAGCACCTAAAACACCACTAGACACCTTGTGCATTTAAACATTTGTCTCTAGGAAAAGATGAATCACTACCTCAAGGTTACTTTTTTCTTCCTCAGATCCAAAGGATCCTAAAGACTGTTCTGATCTCCCCTGAGACATGTAAACCTCATCCCAGGGTTTATTTTCAATGTTATTCCTGTCCTGTGTGATGGGCACTATAGCCCCAAACACTTTATGTGAATCAAAAACTTGTCCCACTGCACTCTCAGTGCTAGGTCTTTTTAGAGGCTCGTTCAACATGGTTTCTTCCCCACTACTGACAGGTCCCTCATGCCTCCTGGATCATGCCCAAGGGCCTTGTGATGAACCTGCACTCCCTACTATGGTTTTAATTTTACCAGGCCCAGGTATAAAATAAAAACTCCTTCAAAATCTGATCCTGCATGTCTCTTTATCATGGAGCACAACTGCAGAACACTGTGAAGATATCTGTTTTATAGAATATTATAATTTTTCTCTTGCAAAATCTCTGAAAGTTCGGTTCACATTGAGTTACTTTGTCTCTCCTTCCATGCTAAAATTTTACCATATCTCCCCATACTAATGCCCCTTCTGATATGCAAGAACCAGCCATCTTCCTTCTCTGTGCCATTTGTACTTGATCTCAGAGCAGATGTTCTCAGCTTCCATTTGTCTTTGAGGTTTACTGGTCCCGTTCCACACTGGAGGGGGATCACTCAGGATCCTGGGTGATCCTGCAAGCTCCTCTGTGTCTGAGCAGCAGTTCCAGCAACAAGAATCACCTCTGCCTTCAAACCTTCTGCTTACGTGAGTGGTGCATGTGGAAGATGCACTGTGCTGGAGAAGATCTGGAGTCTTCTGGAGAGCACTTTAAACCAAAGTGTGTTTCCAGGGCCTTGGCCACAGCGTGATGTGGGGAAAGCCACCCCACCACATTTCATCTCTGCCCACACTATCTGCTCTGTTTATTCATCTTCCTTTATGTGACTGATACAACTTGTACGTACCATACATAGAGAACACACTAGTCATGACTGCAAATAAATTGTCATCTGCAGGGCGAGACATGATCAGGAGTACTTTAGTGAAATGTTCTTTTCAGTGTTATTTTCACTGCAATCAAAATAACTAAAAATAAGTGGGATGACAACCTCATCATTTTTATTTAGATCTCAGTAATTGAAGCACATGGATAAAAGTTCTATTTTCTTTCATGTGGAATTTACCCTTCCTTCCAAACACAAAAAATTGTATGTGTGTGCATGTGTTTGAATATGCGACAGTCGCATTTATATTCTGTGTTTTACTCATTAGAAGCAAAGATTCAGTCGAAACAAAACATGTGTTGGACCAGCCAATGATTGTTATTTATTTAGCCAGATGTCACCTCTTGGCGAATGACTGTGCTCTTTGGGTTTTAGTCTTTAAAAAATAATACATTAAAACTGAGGAATGTTCCCCAAAGTGGAAACTTTGGATCCACGGACACTGCTGAGTGAGGGAGGCTGCCCCAGCCCTGGGCCCCCCCTGTCCGCACCGCTTCACTCACGCCTGGCTTCCTGGCTCAGTTTTGGACCACCCCAACTTGCTCCCTCTGAGACGTGGTGATGGGGATAATGCAGTCCTGGGACCCCACCCTGGGGAAGATTGCACCCAGCTGGGCTCTGGTCACCTTGTTCACAGCTCCAAACCTAGCCTAGGAGGCTCTGCACCCTCAAACAGGCTTGTGGGACACCTTCATGCCCTGCCTGCCTCTGCTTGAGGTATTGCAGCAGAGTCCTCACTATTTCAGACACGTGGAGCCAAGGAGAAGCAAGTCCAGCTGCCACACGACGTGGATGTGGCCAAGCTTCCTTAGAGGGGGCTAGACCTTAGCAACATGCGTGTCAGCCAGCCTGTGTCCCTTGGTCCCTAAGCCTCTCATATTTAGCTCTGCAGTCATACCTTGAATTCATGCCAAGGCATAAATGGATACGCAATCCACTCAAAATTCTACTTTAAAAGGTAAAAAAATAATTTTACTAAAAGAACAAAAAGAAACAAAGTTGTTCCTCCTCTCTTTGTCCATGCCACTGCCTATTCAGTCATTTTGGGGCAAGCCAGCTAGAGCCACCTTCATCGTTTTGGGGTCCAGAGGCCAAACTCATCAGCAACTGAATCCAACCTAGCACCTCTGCAGCTAAATGAGCTTTTCAGATTATCCTGATGGAGGTGGCTTTAAGTTCAAAGACACAAGGAGAACAGGATGAGGCAACTTATAAGGAAATACAGGACAAAGTTGCAAGATGAGCTGATCTTCCTCCTGCTGCAGGCTGGAAGGGAGGGAAGTGAGGTGTAATTGCAACCGGGATTCAAACAAGGTTGGCTCTGGGATTCAGTCAGCACCCACTTTTCATGGGAATGAAACTCCTACTCCCAGGGCAGAGCGAGCTTAGTGAGAGCCCGAATGGCCAGGCAGGCTGGTGCACACCCAGGCTCATGTGGCACGACAAGCACTTTGTGTCCCTACTGCTCAGCAGACATCCAGAAGAGGTGGGAGGAGAAAAAAAGAAGCAAACAAGCTTGGAGAGACATGCCATGAGGAGGGGATGCTCCTCCCCAGGGACTGCAAGAGCGCTTCTTTACCAAACACCAGGCCGTCAGAAGCTACCACACAGGCTGTGTTAACATTCACAGTCATTCTTGAAAGAAAGAATATGTGGATTTGGTGCTGAGATGCATCTTTCAACAGGGAGTTTAAAAAAAAAAAAAAACACTTTCAAGACAGCAAAGACAGCAGCTCATTACACCCGAGTCTGGACAGTTTGCACCAAGGAGCCTGAAGACATCTAAGGAGCTGAAAGAGACAGAGCTGAAAGTCTGTGTGTGAGCTGTGCTTGGGGAGGCTATTGATTTATGGAAGGACAGAGAGAGTTAAACAGCAGGAACTGAACGCATCGCAGCGCATGGCTAGCAGACCAAAAAGGTTCTGCAAACCCCAGTCAACGTGTGCTATAAAACATGCTGTCTTCAGTCCGTGCTTGCACATACCTCCAGGCAGGGAGGAAAAGAGCAGTGATGTGCAGGTACCTCTTAGATTTCAAGAGTCTATTACAGCTGAGAAAAGCAAGAATGACATGGGGGTATTCAGGACCAGAGGGTTACAGTCAGTTCCAGCTACAAAGGTTTGATGGGATTGGACATTTCCCATCCCAGTTTTTTTTTTCTTTTTCAGCTGAAACTGATTATTTGGTTTAAAAAAAAAAAAAAAAAAAAAAAAAAGCTTGTGTAAAATTCCTGCTTTATTTAGAAAACGTTTATCTCAAAAAAATTTAAAAAAAAATATAAAATAGAATTATTTTAGCTAAAATTTCTGCAAAGTTGAAAGTTGAGGAAACTTTGATTTGGGGCAGAATTTTTTCATAATTGAAAGTATGAAATCAGGTTCAGTTGTTGTTGGAAGATCCAAAATTTAAAATTGCCTTTCACATTATTACATGGCTCACTCTAGTGTTCATTCACCAAGTAAAATTTGCATTTAAACCCCTTGGTGCCTGAGAAACTACCATAGTGCTAAGCAAAGTCTTTTCTTCCCATTCTCACTTGTAATGCTACCTTCAGGAACACTTCTCCAACCCATTACCTTTGGGGTCTGAAAATCATCATCTGAAAATCATGGTCTGCCTAAACCTGAAATTTCCATTTTCATCAAAAAAAATCCTTCACTTTTCAGATCCTGCCTGTTGTTAGTGGCACATGAAGACCCACTAAGGACCTAAGTTTCTGTTGGTGGATATACACCCCACCACCTAAGTCCTTGTATGGCTCCTAAACCACTAAAATCCTTGTATAGCTCCTGAAAACACTAACTCCCAAGAAAGCCTAGGTGGGATTCTCAGATTAAGGTCTGAGATGAATTTTTGTGAGGCTTCAGAGGAAAGTTAAGATGTTCTAATAGCTTAATAAAAAAAAAATAAATATGTGCAGTTCTTTCTGGTCCCATCTATGCTCTTAGGGGAAATCTAGCACTCACCTATGAGAGTTCACTAAATGCTCAGAAAACTAGAAACTTTTCTTTTCTGTTTTTGTTCTCTGCCTGTTAAGTATGCCAAAAGAGAGGTTCAGAAAAAGCCAAACTCAACTGAAGAGAAGGAGCAGATCCATGCGGCCAGGAGACCCTCAGTTGCTGTGAGCTACTGGATCAGCTCAGCCATTTCATAAAACCTCCTGTTCACAACGTGTTCCAAGCACACCTACATGGGCTTTTGCACGTGTCCTAACCACAAAAACCCTCCCAATTCCTTTATAGTTACAAAGCCTGCAGTTATAGCACAAATTAGTTTGAATCACCACCACCACCAGAATAACCCAACCATTGACCTTTAAGTTATTCTGGACCGGGTTTTCATGACAATATCTCCTGTTAATCTATTTCACTTTGAATAAAGTATTTCAGCATTCATTGCTGAAAGGATGGGGACCCAGGCATATGAGAGTTATGCTATCCCAAAGAACAGGAGACCAAGTCCCAGGCTAGGCATCTGGGTTCCCCATGCAGTACACAGGGAGAAATCTGTTCTGCTGCAAATTATGTTTGTCTGCTACTGTGGCATTAAAAAAGCATCTATGGGGAGGAAGGAGACACAGTCTGTAAGAGCAGGGCTGGAGGTTATACATAAACTTGGACCAGTCCCAAGGAATTTCACCAGCCTATTAAGGAAGCATTTATATCAACCACAGGTTGCTTAATGTTTACTATGTTAAATAATCCAAATTCCATGGAACTCTTTGTTCTTACGCATTTGGGGGGAAAAAGTGATACCCGTAAGCAGAGCTCTCCAAGCTTTAATAGCTTTTGCCCCCGTTTGTCTGCTGAGTGTGTTCTGGTGGCTTTTTGCAGAGCGTTTCTCCTCGCAGAGGATGCCTTCCAGGGGAGGCACCGCAGGGCTGCCAAACCTCCGTGCCAGCCCGCCGAGGTGAGAGCTAAGCCTCACTGCCTGAGAAGTGATATTATCGCCTCTCTTCTCAGAGAAACCCCATTATGCCTGAATAGAGATGGAGCAAGTAGGGATATAGGCAAAGAGACGATAATGATTCCTTTTTGAAGCAGCACAAAAGGCAGCCAGGACTTCAGCAAGAAACCCGAGGAGTTAAGAGGCAGCACCGAGGTCTCAATGGAGATGGGGTATTCTTCTTCCCCTCGCAGGACCCTGGAGGATTTTCGGAGTGGTCAGAGCAAGAGGCAAGTTCCTAACTGCCTGCCTGATAAAGGCGTAATTGATGGTGGAAGGTGAGCATGGGGAGAAGGGTTTTCATGTTAGATTTGGGCCACAGCCAATGGACTTAATCATCGTGGCTCGCAGGCTGGCTTGCGGTAGCTCCAAATCACGCCCTTGTTCACTCAGCCGAATTGGTGTTGGGAAAACACGAGTGAGGTCAGCAGAAACCCTTGTGAATGGAGGGTTTCTGTTGTCAGTATATGCATTTTTTTTTTCCCTGCTGCAGTCTGAAAAGAGGAAAGAGGGGGGTTCAGACTCGCAGATCTCAGCCCCGGTGGCTCAGCTGGAAGGAAAGCAAAGCTTTTCCTGCTGGCCAGTGGAGCAGCATGGTGGGATTCAACCCACAAGGCCCCTTGTGCTCTCCTCTACTAGGCAGAGTGCCCTGCAGCCACCTCCCATGGGACAAAAAGAAAAAAAAAAAAAAAAAAAAGAAAAAACAGGGGCTAGGGGATTTGTTGGAGCTGGCTTTAACAGTACAGATGGCCTCTGTCTTCTCCACTCCTCCACATGAGCCCACTTGTTGGAGTTATAGAATGATCACAGGAAATAAACAAGAAAAATAAAATAAAAATTAATCTCTTTCCATAGCAGGAAGCTTGGAACTACATGATCTTTAATGTCCCTTCCAACCCAAGCCATTCTGTGGTTCTATCTTGAGATTTTATGATTTATCCCAACGCCCCTCCAGCACATGCACCTCCTTATCCATTAAATATCTGTTGTTTTGCCCAGAAATGAGGCTCTGTATGCTTATCCTGTCTGTGAGCTCTCCCCCATTTTGTGTTGAGCTCTGGGTGCTACAAAGCCACGCACATCTGCAAGGAGATGGCAAACAAGTCTCTCGGGGCCCTTGAGCTGACAAGGTTTTTCCTCTGTTTTTGTGGCAGAAAATGACAGCCCTTGTGTTGTGGGATCCAAGGCACAATTTGCAGCCGTGGTGTAAGTGGTTTCAGGTTAGTACCCAGTAACTCCACCAATAAATCTCCACAAGGCAAGCAAATGCTGTTTACTGCAGAAACAGCTGCTGGACATGGTGGAGAAGGTGGAGGGAAGTGTCCCAAAAAAGGATGAAGAAAGTCTTGCATGGAGAAAAAGTCTGGAAAGAATCTCAAACTAGATCCCAACTCAGAATCAAATCTAACCTGTCTTGCAAAGGTGTTTGTCTGCTTAATGACTTCCTGAAATAGAGGTACCATGACCTTCTTAGCAGAGCTAGTCCAGTGCTTACCTTTTGTATTGACAAGTTTTATTCCCCTCACTGAAATTTATTTTTTTTTTTAATAAATAAACTAAAAATCAGGATCTACCCCATGCTTAACCTGTGGATCCACAACAGGTTGTCTCATTCTGTCATAGCAAGGGAAATCAAATTAAATCCATGGGTGCTCCAGCACTTTATTTCCAGGCATCTCCAAATACTGTGAAATGCAAATGATGTCTGTCTGTGAGGGAAATGAGCCATAGGAAAGAGAAGTCATCAGGCCATACATGAATCCAGGAAGAGACTGCAGAGTGCACAGCTTTCCTTCCATGAGAAGTTATGGATGAACTTCTCCACTCCCTAATTATGGCCTTCAAGGACTGCTCAGCACTGCCCAAAGTCACCCGCTATCATCAGCTGGTAGCCCACAACTTCTGTTCAGTGGTATTCAGGTCTGCAAAAGAAATTGCTCTTCACCTGGTGAAGCATAAGGCCACCAAGACCACTTAGAAATAGCTCTATTTCTAAAGTCATCTGTTCTGTTTTGTTTTCCTAGGGGTATAAACACTAATAAGAAATTAATTGCACTTACAAAGAGTTTTCTGTACCAGCTTATATTCTGGAACAGCCCCCTGCATCATGCCAGCAGCAAGTCTGGGCTACCCATCATCCTGGAGAAACAGTCCTTGGCCAACCTTTAGGGCAACTCAGCAAGTGAGCAGTTGTCCACCCACCCAGACCTGCACCAAAAAGAAAATTTTCAGTCCATCCCAAGCAGCTGTAAGGATACACCATGGAGAAGACTGCCTGACACAGATGGGAAGGGAACCAGAGTTCAGCCTTGCAGCAGGGCTGCCTTGGTTGGGGACCCACCTCAATGCAGACCTGGCCTCCCAGTGCCACACATCTGCCAGATCGTGTCCCTTCCCTTCCATGGTGGCCACTTTGAGTGCCAAATAATACTTTTCCAGCCAGGGAAGCAAGAATAAGGATTGTTTCAAACCTAACATGTGTTGCGTGGGTGGTGAAAGCTGCTTTGGGATATTGAAGTTAAAGGAGGTGCCAGGACATAATGGATGGTCCAAAGAGTCCAATTTACCCTTTACTTTAATAAATAGCCTCTAAACCAGTTTCAAGGCCATTTTCATTAATTATCAATGCTTCTGTATCTGATGTAGCACTCTTAAAGATGGCTTTAAGGTGAGGTGAGGTTCCCAGTGGACCTTCTTTATCCCTCCTTCCTCACTGAGCCCTTCCCTGAGATGTTCCATCAAAGCTGCTGGTGTGATGTAGGACAGAAGATGACTCTGGAGTCATCAGAGGATGACTCTGGCCCTTGCCATAGAGAGACCCCGTGACATGTGCTGTCATCTTAAGTACCTATACAGATGATAAGGAAGCGATGAAATAGGTTTGGGGAATACTCAGATATTGTCCCACTGAGGTGGGAGACAAGTCTAAAGGCTGCATCACCACTAGGAGAGGAATCAGGGTGTAGGTACTTGCAAGTCTAGAAAAAGAGCAAGAGACGGTGTTGTTAGAGCTCTTTACAGACACATGTCCTTGGTCAAAAATAACGGTGAAGAAGCACAATGCAGGAAATATACGATGAAGCAGCAGAAAGCCAGAACAATGATCTGTGTCAAGAGCTTCCAGGCGATGTCGGCACTTCTCTGCAACCGCGGGCAGAGGCACGCAAGGCCAGCCTGATGTTCTCTCCCAGTCCATTTGGAGCAGCTTCTGGTGGGCTGGATGCTTCCCAGGCTCCCACGACAAGATCATACACTGTGCTTTGCATTGGAATGAAAGGATGAAGCAATGGGCATGTGTTTTGCCACCAAAGTTTGCTAGCACTGGCCCTCCAGAATGCATTTGCACATATGGTGAGGAAAATCTACAGCTGATTTCTTTTCTTTCTTCTCTTTTTTTCCTTTTTCTTTCATTTAAGAAAAAAAGTAACAACAAAAGCTCTGTTTATCATTAATTAAGCAGCTATGAAAACTATTTCCTTCGCACAGATTATAGGTGTTTCAGTCAGACACCGGGTTACAATTGTCAAGTGAAATTAACATTAATTGCCTACATATTCTTGCCTAATGAGTTATCAGCTTCATTCTGTGCTGCGGTGATCACAGAATGATTATTTTGAGCCCTGAGTTTGTGTAGCGTTTGATATTCCCACTTCTGCTCTCTTTCTGAGAAACTGGCACCATCTCAAAGACACTATCTCAAATTAGATTGGGCAAAAAACGAGGTAGATTTTTCTGCTTACAAGAAAGGTTTTCTGGTTGAGATATTCTAAAACTTCTACCCACTTTTTCCTTCCTGACTACCCAAAGGCAGCAACGCTGCTTTGGCAAAATAGCTAGCAGGATTCTGCCATTTCTATATACAGTATGGCCAAGAGGAGGGAGAGAACACAACCAGCTGCTCCCTATGAGCATATGTCCTTTAGCAGTGCCTGAGAACCTGCTCCAAAATGGGTGCAAGTAAGAGGTCATCAGCATTATCAGGATCACCAGTCCAGCACCAGTGTGCCCAGATGTCCTCAGAGGCAAGGCAAAACTGACAAAGGTCTAAGGACTGCAGGATCTAGTGTTGGGTAGCACCTGAATCCATTATGATCAAGAAAAGGCTGTCTTGATTTTCTAATCAGAATTAAACTCTGATTTTCCTCCTTTTTTTAAGACAGAAATATGAAATGGAGAGAGGCAAACCATGGCTGTATCTATACTGTATTTGTTACATTTACATTACTAAAGGAAATGCTCAAAAGCCCATTCCTTGGCTTTAGCAAAAGGCATAGCACAGATTGTATGCTCATTCCTTGCTTCCATAAGCTCACTGCCCCTCACCCTCACTTGAGAGAGTTACAGAAAGGCACTTTAAAACCAAAACTCTTCTGGGATTAAAAAGAAAGGAAACTTAACTCACCAGAGTTTGCTTTTTGGATCTGTCTGACAAGCAGCATGGCAGAAATACGATGCAGTCTCTCCTTTTCATATAACATTCTGCTCAGATTGCTTCAAGGAGAGTGCACAAGCAGTCCACAGTGCAGAAAGGTGGCATAAATCAAGCCCTTAAATCAGGCTTCCTGTACCAGCAGAGAGAGGGGAGATTGCAGCAGGTGCACAGATGAGCTCCCATGGTTTATTGCTCTCATTACCACACCCTCTTCTGACTTAGCAAACAGTTTGTGGAGGGAAGGGTAATTTCCTCCTTGCTCACAATATATGCGGAGTTTTGTGTAGAAGCACAGGTGCATCCAATGGACCTGCAGGTCTGGCAACCAGGTTTTAATTGAAGGAAAGAGACAGTTCGTTTAACAGCCAAACAGCTGCAGGCTGTGTGGAAGGATGACAGGGACCGTGGGATCACCTAGTTTGCTCTCCTGCATTGCACGAAGTTGCCCCATTTCTCTTGGCACGAGGCTCACTAACGTGCCATCGATCAAACCGTGTCATTCTCTCGTGTCATCACTTGGAGTTTAATCCAAGCATCTTTACTCCCTCTGAGAAAAGAGAAGAAAAAAAAAAAAAAGTGTTGGATTTCTTCTTTGCATTTTTTGGCTTCTGCTGCTCCTTGACAGGCTCATCTCTGTGGTTGGCAGTGTCTGTCACCACCCAAACACTTTGGAAACACAGCACTGACAGCCTGATGCCATCCAAACGCCTTCTCAGCTTACAGCCTTTGGCTCTCTAACCCCCTTCAGGCAGGATTCACCTCATGTTAGCTTTAGGTGTCAGAAGTTATGAGGTGAATCCCAAATTCACTTAAAGATATTTTTCCGACCAAAACTCTGCTTTCGGCGCTGCCTCTGTTTGTTTGTCCCTTAATCCCAGTGTCTGTCTCCCCAGCACCACGCTCTCTTCTCTGCTCTGAGTCATTGCTCCATGGCTGGTGCTTTTAAGGATCCCATTAATCTTTGCAATGGGAGCTCACGTTGAGCTGCCAGTTCTCTCTGACCCTTAAATCCTTTAAAGAGTTGCTGTTTTCTCAGTCTGCCATTCCCTGGTTGTGACCCTCCTGTCTTCCTTATCCCTATGTGTGACTTTACATAGAAAGAAAACGCGTTTTATTAACTCAGATAAGCCCTATGTGATAGCCCAGACCTATTCATTATTTGATGCTATGAAACTTTCCCTGTAACTTTTCCAGGGTTACAGGTGTATTTCTAAATCAACATTAAAAATGTTGAGCGTTACTGGGGCTAGGTCACTACAAACATTCATACAAAACTTCTTCGCCCCGCAATGATTTTCTAGTGAAAAGTGTGAGAAAGTTTTTTTACTGTGTACCCTGAGACGTGCCAGTAGTTTTGTTCTTCACACCACCAGTATGCCATTATTGATCTAATTATTTTAATAAGAACAAAAAGTTCAGAGTTTAAGAAGCATTTGGACTATGCTCTCAGTCATATGGTCTGAATTTTTGGGTAGACCTATGCGGTGCCAGGAGCTGGACTCAATGATCCTTGTGGGTCCCTTCCAACTTGGGATATTCTGTCATTCTATGATTCTAAAAATGCAATTCTAAGTTGAATACCTTCAGCCATCCAAGTACATTATGTCTGCACTGCTATTGGCCAAACTTATTTGTTCATACCAGAACGAAACAGGGTTTGTTTGCCAAAGTAGTCTCTCTCTCTCAAAAAAAAAACAAACCACCACTATTACAGCAATGGGGCACTTTTACTTCTACCATGACTGAATTGCACAGCTGCTTTTCTTTCATTTTCTCTGTGAGCTGTATTAGTTTAATGATGTTACACATACCTGGCTTAGTCTAGTTTATGGCCTGGATGGCCCAGAAGTCACATCCGCACAGTCGAGACACTGTCGAGACACAGTTCTGTGACAGCATCAGACACATCCTGCATTCTGATAGGAATTCTGTGCCTCGTCCCCTGTCCTCACCCCCAAACCTCCTCCCTGCCTGAACCTGGAGGCAGATCAATGCGGACAAGCACCAGACTTTGCCTTGGGTTGAACTCTGTAGTGTGGCTGCCTGAGAGCACAGCTGCATCCTAATCCCCTCCGTTCAGGGATGTGGCCAAGTCCTGCCTGCAGCAGTTTCAGCAGTGAACCACCAGCTTTGTCAGGACACAGAAAATGTCTCCTCCTTTTTCTTTCATTACATTGTGAGCTGCTTAATTTTGCTATGGGGTTCACTGATTGTTTGTTTTTTTCTCGTATTCCTTCTTTTAAACATGATATGCAAGGAGGCCACACGGGAGTAAAGGGAAAATTAACAAAATTTACAAGGTAATAGCTGAAGGATAAAGAAAATTTAGGACACTGAATACTGAAGCCTTTAGATGAGTTTCCCTGTCCCCATGTTCACTTCTCTGCGATGTGGCTGTCTTGAAAACATTTGTTGCACAAACCAGTTGGGAATAACTAAGTGGAGGATTCTGAGCATCACACTGCAATTGCCTAAAGAGACAGAGATTTATTTCATGTAGACAGAGAAGTTAAACAGCACTAGCTGTAAGGCTGTGCTAAATCCAAGATACTCTAACAGAGGCTATCGTCATGATCTAGGTCAAAAATCTGACGGACATCCTGAAAAATACCTTTGCTATGTGTTACTCAAGTGCATTTCTAAAAGGCAACTTAAAAATAACTATGTCTTCTAAACTGACCTTTTCCAAGAAGTTATGTTTTCTTAGGGTCAAGCTCTGATGTAAGTCTCAGAGATCAGGATCAAGAATTAGACAATGGGGAAAGAAATACTCTTTGGCTCAAGCATACATTTCATGTCCTAGTGAAGAGCTATGAGAAGAGAGGAAACCAAAAAGGCTCCTGGTGGTTGTAGGTGATGCTAAGGGGTGGTGTGCTGTACAGCCAGTCCCTGGCCCCACCAGGACCTGCTCCAAGCAAAGCTCCTTTCTGTGGCGATGCAGCCTGGAAATTTTCCAGGTATTCACATAATGCACAAGGCCAGAATCCTGCTAATGGACAAAGTCACCCCTCTGACTCTGTGGAGAGTGTTTATATTTCATGGGAACATGGGAGCAGGTCTATGGTCAGATTTAGATTTAGTTCTGCTGGGTTTGTTCTGAGCAGGAGGATAGTTTTCTGGGTCTCAGCACATTTCTGAGTTCCCAAAAGCTGAATTCTGTCTGATGCTGTGGATTGCCTACAAGGCCTTGGTCACACAACATAAACCTAACTACCCAAAAACTCTGAAATCAGAGTTTTTCTGTCTTTGAAGATGTGGATCACTGTGTCTCAGTTTCTTCTCACCTGGGCATGAAGAGCCGTATACAATTCTTTTAAAACTGAACACTGCAAAACTTGAAAGAGACTGCCCAGGTCATAAAGTCCGGTCACTGTCTGTTTCAAAATGCTGGCCACATCCAACCCTTCACAAACAGGCAGGTGTCCTTTTATTGCCCTTTTCTTTCCTAATGAGAGGTTATTTCACCATTTCACTGCTGTGGTGTTTCAGCAGCTTTTTTTTGTGGATTTCCAGATCTCCACATCCCAGTTTACATTTAGCCTTTCTCTTTACCCAGCTCAGAGCTGGTTTTGAACACCAGGGACCAAGATAACCCATATATTCTAGACATGCCACCAGTGCCCTTTTCAGTAGCCCTAAATCCCTCTCTCTAGCAGAAACAGGTCTTCCAATGCAAAATTTTCCTCTTATATCTTAAATGTTTTGAAATCTTCCCAGTGTTGAGCAACTGAGTACAACAACAGACATATACAAACTAGATGAGTATTTCCCCACTAAAGCAAGTGGTAAGCCACCTCTTGCCATCGTTGAGTTAGAGTAGGGTAAAGCTAAGTAAATCTGGAAACCTCTTCCTGCATGTGCTTGAGAACTTGGAGTTGGAGGCCTGATCCCACCATCATCATGATTAGGATGAGCCAAAGCCAATGTTTGTCTTGCGGATCCCCAAACTCCTGCCTTTTCCAAGAAAGTGTGGGAAGTAAAAAGAAGAGTCTATTTAAACTTAGCATGGTAGGAGCTGCTGTATGGGTTGTGTTTTTTTTTTTCTGTTTTTTTTTTCCTTAGGTGAATTTCAATAAGGTGACCGCCAGTCTTGCACAAGCTGCAGCTGCTGTAAATCCATGCTCAAAATGTCAGAGTCATAAACTATTTTGATGAAATGCCATCAAAGAAATCATATTTATCGGGATGATTTGTTGATACTGAATATCCAAACAGTTCGGAGTGCAGTAAAGTTCAGGGGGATGCAGGGATTTATGGTTCTCTGTTGCTGGGGATGTTAATAACATTTCAGGAGACTAAACAAGAATGTTCCAGGGATGTGGACGGCTCAGGCAGGGGAGGGACAAAGAATTTCTTAGTTCTGAAAAGAGTAAAAAGGTCATTGGTGTGTTTATGGAAACAGATTATAGTCCCATTACATTCGAAAGCTCCCTGGATGTGAGGAGTTACTCATCATGGCCTTCACTTTTGGCCTCTTTTGGTTCTTTTAGAAATCTGGAGCCTTGAGGTAGGTCAAGTATTGGGAAATGCAATAGAGAGTTCTCATCTTGTCTGAACAGATGGAGGGCTGGGACTTGTTACCTGCCCTCCATCACACAGAGTGTTGTTTGGCCTCATTTCTAAAGGAACTTGGCCCTTCCAGAGCACTGGATTTCTTTTTGCTCATGTGAACACCTGTCCTACCTTGCTATGAATCTCTATACTGCTCTCCATCCCTGGGACGAGCATTCACTCTGAGTTGTGTAGAACAATTATATGATATTTAATGCAAGGCATTTTCTTCCCCTTCCCTTTTATTCACTGGCACTTTGTGCCTTACTACCAGGAAATAGTTTCTAGATACCTTCCTCCACATCACTCGTGATTTTGCATTCTGCATCCTGCTCCTTATCAGCTCTGATCAGCAATGACATTCTGCAGCCTTGGCTGCATGTCCATCACGAAAGCCCCCTGTGGTCATGGACAGACGATGTGTCATGCCTCAGCAGGACCTGATGTGACCTGGAGCATGGAGAAAGGAAGCAGGTTTGTCCCAAGGAAGTTTTTCAAGGATGCTCTCTGGAACAGGAGTAATTTTCTGCCCAATTTCACAAATCAGTTACACTGGGGCATAATGGTGATGGGAATCCTTTCCCAGTATTAATGATATGCACTTCCACATCTTGGTTTTGTCCCAGTGAGGAAAGTCTTAAAAGCATTTGTAGGAAAGGAAGGCATTTTCCACTCAGCTTGAGTATAATTAAAGAGCACCAGC